ATCTTAATCAGCAATCACCTAGTCCTCCATGCCTCTGAAAAGTGGTATTTCAGACGTAGATTTTTCTCACTCGAAGGAGCTTTAGTGAAGTACTTTTAGAAGAAAAAAGAGCACATGCAGATGAATGAGCCTCTAAATTCAAGGTATCTCATATTTTAACTGCGTTTTTTTCTGGGATAACATTTGTAAAACCACGTAGTAACGCAAGACTTAAGTTCCATTTTCAAAAGCCTATGGGTCTTCAAGGAGCTTTCCAATGCGCTTGTCACTCCAGCTGCAGCTGCACCCATGTGCATCAATACTTAGGATATGCTTTCACGGCAGATTGCAACATAATGCAGAAACACTTAGACCACACTCAACTGACCCACTTCGGTACTGAAGGCGCACAGCATGACAGCACAGCATTGCCTGCAGCATGGTAAACTGGCCCACTGTGAGCTTCACCCAGCAGCAGTCAGATGCCTAGAGTCAAACTCAATTAATTAAAATAAGCTTGGGTATCTCTACACTGCTGATGGCAACTTTGTCTCACATCTTTATTCTCTGCCTTTCTACTGGGTTCTTGGAGTCTGTAAACATTTATTTTCCTTGCTCTGCTACCCTCCCAGGAAAGAGCAGCAGGATCTCTTCTTTCCTTCAGAAGAAACCTCTTGCAGGCAAATAGCAGAAAAGGGCAGAACATAACATCAGATAAAATAAATTAATTTATCTAGGACAGGCAGATGTTATGCAGATAGATGTTTTCAATTCCACAGTTACTCATTCATTATCTGCTGCGCACAGAGCAGAAAGAGCTACCGTGAGGAAGCAATTGCACGATGGAAGCAAGGCAGCAGAAAGTCTTATCCTGGAGACCTGTTCCAGCAGAGCCCAGCCAATATTCTTGCTTATAGCCCACTCACCAGTGAGGTTGAAGGGAAGGAAGGGGGATATTAGGATGACAAGGCAATCGTTCATCTGCAAGCTGAGCTTCGTGCTGTAATTTTTTCCAGTCTCTCTCCCTTTCTGACTTGGAAAAATTATTTAAAATGCTTAGCTGTATAAAAGATGTTTTTGTTCTTTAAGTGTGTGTGAGAAAGAGAGACAGAGAAAGTGACAGAGAGAAATAGATGCTCTTGAAAGCGAAGTAAATAGCACTGGCTAAAGTCCGATAGCGTGGGCTGACTGGGCAAGCGTTCAACGCTCAGCCCCGGCGGCAGCCCTGACCTGCAGCAGCCCTGCTCTCCTGCGCCGGGCCCCACTCGAGCCACGACGAGCCCCGGTGCCAGACTGAACGGTTTTGTGATGCAGACAAATGTCTGCTCACATGAAACCACCAAAACTAATTTTCATTTTCAACAGAAGCCAAGATTT